GTCCCAGGTTTGATTCTGGTCAAGGGCATGTACCTTGGTTACAGGCACATCCCCAGCAGCGGGTGTGCAGGAGGCAGCTGATCGATGTTTCTCTCTCATTGATGTTTCTAACTCTCTGTCCCTCTCCCTTCCTCTCTGTAAAAAATCAATAAAATATATAAAAATAATAATATGTAGTGATACGAAAAATAGCAAATAAAGTTTAAAAACATATAACAGAAAACTGAAATGCATAAATATATAACATATATCTATATACTGTATATTAGGCCCCTAGAACCATAAGAAATGTAAAAAATTCACTGTTAATAACTTATCCTTGAATTCACTCCCTTAAAAATCAAATTGCTCCCCTGTGGGGCATGTGCCCCATGTTGGGAACTACTGCTCTAGCCCCTAACCAATTATCTCTGAAAATCACTGTGCTCCCTTTCTTTTTTATTAGTTACAGTGTCTAGTACAAAATGACATACAACCAACATTTTTCCTATGATTCAATTAATAAATTATATAATCAATTCTAAGGGAAAGGTGAAGCAGGCAGTTATAAGGCAAGAGAAGAACCTGAGGCTGTTAGGATACAGACTGAGAGATGGCAGAGCAGACAGCCCAATACTGACAAAGCTCCTAAGGAAAATTGCATGTGGTGGATGCGCAATAAAGAATTAATTTTTCTGAAAGTGTCTGAGGCATAAAGCGTTCTTTTTCCCCCTAGTTTTCCTGCATAAGAAATTACCTCTCCACACAGTCTGAGAGTCTGGAGGTCAAGTTGGACGCAGGAGCATCGTGCCCTCCGATAGCATACAGCAATCCGTTCCAGGTGGTTACGCCTACTCCCCCTCTCCTTTTAGACATTTGTGCACAGAGTGTCCACTTATTCGTATGAGGATCAAAACATTCTACTGACTTGAGACAAGAACTTCCATCCCGACCACCAACTGCATAAAGTCTGTGAAAAGAACAAATACAATGATAAGAAACAGTGCTACGCTTAAGTCAAAGAGGTTATTCTTACGGTATTTCTAGTAAACTTAAGGTGCCATTGGATATAAGACACACTGTCAATTTATGTTCCATTAGAAAAATATATGTTACCAATTAAATGACATATGTCTATATCTGGATATATCAGATATCACTAAGTATACATATAAAAGAACACCAAACTCACATGAAAGCAATGACAACTGTTTCACAGCTGCCATCTGTTTGACACACCCTTGGCTGTAAGATGCACTGCATTTTTAGAGACGTTAAAATGTGTCTTAGAATATAGAAAATATGGTATATAATGCTTCCTTGGTCAATTTTAATTCATTTTCAATTAAGATACGGTAATAATTTGATATGTTAAAATTTGTTATCTGTTAAGTACTACTTTTTTTGTGTCACTGTTCTTAATATTAAACTACTAGAGGCCTGGTGCACAAAATTCGTGCACTGGGGGGTGGGGTTCCCTCAGCCCAGCCTGCCCCTCTCACAGTCCGGGAGCCCTCAGTGGATGTCCTACTGACGGCCACAGTCTGGCAGCAGAGGCTCGGAGCAGGCGTCCTGTGTGTGTGTGTGTGTGTGTGTGTGTGTCCGCTGGGGCCCCGC